TTAAGATGAAGTGCAGACGTTCTGCCGTACACCATCTCTGCTCGCGTGGTGGCAGTTGCTCACTCCCAATGGAGAGTTTAGGTTCACCAGTACTTTGTCAGAATTTCACTGTTGATTCTGGTTCTAGCACTATGGAGCAGATGATATTCCTCCTGAATTATGTTACCTACTTGGTTTGTTCTTTTATCTGGGACGTGGTGCAGTATTTCATCTTTGTGCTTTTTAATAGGACGTAAAAAGTTGCTTCTCTCCTGTGGATGGGTGAGAAGAGTAGAAGCTGCACTGAGACCAGCACTGCACTGGTACCAGCAGCTTTGAGAGGATGGGGTGTGCAAAACTAGTTACACATCCTGACCTCAGAAATTAAGTCAGATAGTTACTGTGACCTTTACTTTGGGCAAATTCACACAAATACGAGTAATTCTCATGCTCTTCCTGCACCGGTTTGTGGCAGTACTTGCACTTTGGTTTATAGTCTCCCTTGATCCAGGTTTTTAACAGCCACCAGACTTCCAGGAGCCATTTAGATCTGGGATGCATGTGAAACACTTGACAATTAACCACCTGCTTTCCTGTTGCTCGGATTACTCCAGGTCTCTGCAGCTTTTCTTTCCTTGGAGAATGGGATAGTCTGTTTAATTTTTCTTTTAGTTATTATTTATTCCCTGCTCTGATGGGATGTCAGCATCAGTCTTTGTATAGAGAAAAAATGATATGATCTTGGGTTTTAATTTTTTTAAATTCATGTGATCCGTGCAGGAAAAGGCTGTTGCACACTGTTGGAATAGCCTGTCCTCACTGTTGCATAGTGACCAAAAATTCAACACAAATATCATTGTTATTTATGGACCAGATGGGCCTCAGACATTCCTCTGTGCCTGAGCTGCCACTGGAAGCTTGCTGGTAAAAATCAGGACATCGCCTTTGTAATTAATACCCCTCATGCTGGCGGAACCACTTTGCACCTTTCAGGTGTCTCAGCTCTGCTGGAAGGGCTGCTGCACCTCTGGGGTGGGGACCTGCTCTTCTGCAGCAGGCTCACAGGGGGTTTGTGCTGCCCTTTAGCCAGAAGACAATTCCATTTAAAATTCTCTTGCAGTGTATTTCTACTCTATTCTACTCTTAGAAAATCTAGATGACTCCAAAGATAGTTACAGCAGCTCTTTGGTTGCAGCTTGCAGCCTGTTTATTTATCATCGGTATTGATGAAGATGCTGTCATGGGCTCTCTCTTCCAGGACATAATTTTGCATATTAACTGTAACTGTCATTGAGCTTCTGCTTCTCTGCTGGAAGTTGGTGAGACACACTGAAAACCCTGCTGAGCACGTTGCTCCCAGTAGTACGTACAAATACTGTGGGGTGGGTTTTTCTGCAGGACACTGCACCAGTGATCTGCTCACACGCCCTAAATGGGTGTGATGACCTTACTGAAAAATTGAGATATGTTTTTTCAGGAAAAAACAAAACCAATGAAACCCCTAGGGCTTTTGTTGTTCAGGCTGAAGTTTTCTTTTCTTTTGTTCTTATACATTCCTTTGGCTTCGGTGTGACTCCAGTTCAAGAAAAACCCACGGAAGCGGCATTTGGTTTGCTGCCTGCATGGCTCTCTAGAACAGATTGCTTTCATCAAAGGGTCGTATTGGATACACATCACAAAACAGGTTGGAGACATTTGGGAAGCTGCGCTGCAGTCACATCGCATCCATCCGCGGTCACGTTTGCTGCAGCGCACATACAACTGTCTTCTGGGCTGCTGCCTCCTCAGGGGAAATCTTTGAAACCTTTCTGGACAACCTGACCGTGGTTCCCCCCTCTCTCCGGTGCGTTGTAGGGCTTGTCAGCTCCGCGTTATGTTCTTGAACATGGACACTCCTTGACTTGAAAACCGCAGGGTTTTCTTGTCTTTCATTTTTTGTCCATTTCCTCCTCGTGTAACCGCTGTCTTCCTTCTGCCGCACGCATGAACTAAAGGACCCTCTGAAGCTTGGCTTCACCAAGAACTTTTTGGTGAGAATGTTGCTTTAGGCAGAAGAGCAGGATGTGGTCAGAGCTGTAGAGAGCAGATACCCACACCACCTATTGTTCCTTCAGTGCCTTTCCTCTTTCTGCATCTGCCTACTACCTCATTCTCAGGTGCGTTTCCGTTTCAGAGGTTGGTTTTAACTCCTTCGTAAGTCAGCAGAAACAAAGAAGACGATGCAGGAGTCCCAGCTCATGGTTTGTCTTGTATCTTCCTGCGTGCTCTGCCTTGCAGCTGTCCTGTCTCACCTGGCAGGTTCCTTAAAGGTTTATCTTGGTGTCCTGTCCTCGCAGTTCAGGCTTCGCTTCTTGCTGCCTTTGGCCAGTCGGAGGCTGTTGCAGCCGAGGCACCAGGGAACAGCTGAGTACAGAGCAAGGAGATTTCCCTTCCTGAGATATTTTGGGTGTTTTCGTTGGCAAATTTGCTGTGCCAGAAAGGGGTTTAAGGTTGGGGGATTTTTTCCTTTCTTACCATTATTTTTGTTCTGGA